CACAATCCCTGTCTTGAGATCTCTGTTCTCCATTATCCTGAGGATTCTGTTTGTTTCTCTCTCAGGCTGGATCCTGTTTTCTCCTTTAGCTTCCTTTTTTTCAGTTTATTCCTCATTTTGGTGGCACACAATTTATAGTAGCATCCTGAAAAGGTTGCAGGGAGGTAAACTTTTCAAGGCTTTGCATGTTTGAAACTCTTAATTATACCATCATTTTTAATTGTTAGTTTGGCTGTGTCTAGAATTTGAATCTGGTAACAATGCCTCTTTGTAATTCTGATCACAATGCTCCCCTGTCTTCTGACTTCCATTTTAGTGTTGAGAAATCCAAAGTCATTCTAATTCTTGATCATTGTATGAAATAAGAAATATGATCTTTTGCCCTTAAAGCTTTTAAAGTTTTCTTGTGTCCAGTGATCTTAAACATCATGTCATGTATCTTAGTATAAGTCTATTTTATCTACTATGTCAGACCTTGGGTGAAATCTTTTAATCTGGCAACTCATATTTTTCAGTTCTCTGAATTTGCTCTGAATTATTTATTTGATTTTTTTTCTCTCTCTTTTTTCCTCTTGTATTTTTCTTTCTGGAACTGTGATTATCTGGATGTTGAAATCTATGGAGGCACTTATAATTTTATTATATTTCTGTCCTATTTTCTATCCCTTTGTCTTTTAGCTATACTTTCTGCCAGGTTTTATCAATTTTTATCTTCCAGCTCTTACATTGATGATTTAATAACTGCTATTATATTTTTAAATTTTCCAAGAGCTGTTTTTTCCTCTGGACGGTCTTTTTCTTCTTTCTTTTTTTAAAAATGCGGCACATGCTTTTTCACAACAGTGTGGCACATATATAGGTTTTTTTGGTTGTTGTTGTTAAAATAGAGTTGTTGATGAAAAGTGGCTACTCAGTTTGGGGGTACATTTTCAAGCTCCTTTTGCCTTGCAAGTGGAAACTGAACAGGAATAGCATATGCATATTTTTCTAGACTGAAGCATTAGGATCTAGGTACCCCTCCTTTCCCATTCCTTTCATTGTTTGTTAGATGAAAAGATAGAACTATAAGGACCAAAGAGATGGAGAAGTCATACAATGGAGGAAACCTGCAACCCTGAACAGAGTGGAACAGAGCACCCACCCCATTTCAGTCCTAACTGAACTTTACACAGGTGGGAAATAAATACCTCTGTTGTTAAGCCACTGAAGTGCCTAGTTGTTTCTAACAATTAGTATCACCTTAATTAATGCAAATATCCCTACTTGATTCATTGATGCAATATCCTTTTTCCTCTGAGAATATTAATTCTATCTTTAAATTTTCTTTTCTTCTTCCAATGTAGACTTATTTTCCTTCAGGTTTCTGTTACAGATATTTACTCTGGCAACTGTCTGTCATTTAGAGGTTGGCCTGAAGTATCTCTGCTAGCCATTCATATGTGAGAACAGGACAACAAAAAAATTACCTTTGGAAGCTTTGTGCATGTGTGGGATGTATGTGAACAGTGAGCTTCAGAGTAATTTGACGGGTGTGTTTCCTTGGAAAAATCCTTTAAGAGAGCATTGTAAAAACTTTTCTCTTGGATTTGCAGACTTGCCCAGGAGAGGTGTTTTTGTGTCTTGGTTGGAGGGGGTAGACCTCAGAGCTGGTATTCTAGGCGTCAGGTGGGGGAAGAACCCTGGGGGCTCTCAACTTTTGTATGAATTACTTCTCCTGGTTGTGTTATGGCACCTCTGCCTGCCACTGTGCCTGGCGCTCCTCTGGTGGATAAAAACCTGTTTTACTCTCTTTAAGTAAGCAGTTAGTCTCCTGCCAGAGCGAGACAACAGTAGTTGTCCAGCTTCACAAAGTTGATGAGAAGCCAGAAGGTCTAATTTTTTCTTTTAAAATGACTTCCAAAGAATCCTGCTGTTTTAGTCGTCATTTCTCCACCCCAGTTCTTGTAGAGGTACCCAGTCTACTAAATCATGAGTCTCTGGGGGCTTCTGTCACATGTATCAGGGAACCGCTCAGCTTTTCCTACTGCTGGCTGCAAATCCAGCTTTCTCACATTTGCCAAGTAATTTACCACTCATCCAGCTGCTTTCTAGCTTCCAAAGCTGTGTCGCTTTTGTCTCTTTTCCAACACTCTTTGTCTATGTGAGTTTATGCCTTTATTAAAAAAAAATACAGTCTATTGGGCTTTCAGAAGACAGCAACGACCCTTTACATACTTTCAATTTACCATTTTTTATCTGGAAACTTAACAATTTAAAAACTGAAATCAACTCAATTTTATACTTACAAAAATAGCAGGATATCCAGTATCTTCTAAAATTTTTCTGTCTTCTAATGATTCAACGGCTCCAGGGGATAACACAGTATAAGATGCAAATCTTGCTTACGATGACCTCACTGGGAGAGAAAAAGAGGATCGACTGATTCACTAGTGGGATTTCTTTTTCCACTGCCATGGTTTCTGTAGCTGCTGCCCAGCATCGTTTTTGTACATCCGTTTGACAGAGTTCACTGTGGCATTTATGACTTTGCTGGTCCAGATCTTTGTACAGGTTCCTTTGTACAGGTGGAGGTCATTCTCACTCCTTCAGCAAAGGATGGTCCAGGTTTTCCCTTAGAATTGCATCTTTTTCGTTCATGCTCACATGCCCAGCTGTTCTTTCCAGAGTGTGACCCAGTTGGCTGGAAGGAGCTTCCAACTTCAGCTACACTTTTTGTGAGAACCAAGCCTCACCATATAACCTCTTAGGTAGTTGTAGTCAAGCCTGGGTCACCAATTCAGATTCCCTGGTCCTTAACCATAAGTGCTTCTTAGAGGATCCTAGAATCTTTTTCTGCCACAAGTCTTTGGTGATTGGAAGCCTTGATGCTGCTTGGAAACTTCTAGTCTCTGACACAGAGGGGAAGACGAAATTTGTTTTACATAGAAGATATGAGATTTAGAAGGTGAAAGAGATGCAGATATCCATTATTGCTCCTCTTGGCAGTGGTGGTCAGAAATGTGGGCTTCAACTCCTGTCAGATTTTTCAGGGGCTTCCAGGTATGGCCCTGGGAATCATCCACCTCAGTGCTAGAGGCAGCTCTGATTGCTGTCAGTGTTTTCCTGTGGTTACTGCAAACTTCTGAATCTCTGAGAGGTAATGGCCATCACTGATGACAGGAGTCTGTATTTCCTGACCTCTATTCCTCCAGCATGTCTGATAGTTTGATAAGCAAGAATTAATACTCTTTGTATTAATTCTCCTTCTGCTTAAACTACTAGAGTGATCAAATACTAATTGCTAATGCACCTATCTTCTACTAAGAAGTAAGCTGATCTGCTAGAGGGGTATTTGAGGGACATCGTTACCAAGTCATAAAAATGTATTGGTATACATTCCTCTCAAAACTTCCAGTATCTGTTTGCTTACACTGAGACCATGGTAACTTTCAAATGGAAGCTCCTTTTCGGGGTATGGTTGTGGGCTGGAAGTTGAGCTCCAGTGTGTCAAGCATCCTCCTCCACATGGAAGTGTGGGGGAAATCCAAAAGTCAAATGTAAATTATTTCAGGACTATTTTTATTCTCTAAAACCATGAAATTTGGTTAAAAAATCAAATTCTATAAATCAATTAAAAAATGAAAACATTTGATATTTTATCTGGAAATCAGAGTTGTAGTGTTAGGGACGGTTTAAATACTATAACAACCAGAACTGACATTCAGTGGATCCCAGCCTATGTAATCTAAAATTACTATTGTCCACACTTTCATCCTATGAAAACACTAGGAAACATTTTTTGGTCTCTTTTCCTCCAAGGAAGCTTGATGATTAAATTTCTCTACTTGTTATGAAAAAATAAGTCTCTTTTACATTAAGTATGCTAACAAATTTCTTAGTGACTCGGCCATTATTTTCAATTCTGCTTATTTCTATCTCACTGGAAGTTTAGACTAAAAGTCTACAAAAGAAGAAAATGCATAATTCTAAGAACATAACCTTGTCACATCAAGTCTCTTTGGCATATGCATGAATTTGTAAATTCACTCTACATTGAAAGAGATCCATCAAGGCCAGATAATTTAACCTTCAGAATATTCTTTTCAAAGCAGTTTAAAGTATTATTTATTTCTCATTATTTTAATGGAACTTGTTTGTAGATTGTGAAACAATCCCTGATTGGCCCACATAGATTCTGCCCTCAAATCATTAAAAGGTTATTTTCTAAAGGCTCATGCAAAGGCCAGTTGTTTGGAACTTGTAACATATTTTTCCATAGAAGTATAATTTATTTTATGTAGTATTTATCTTCCACCTACTCTAGAAAAAGATTGGAAGAAGCTAATGTAATTAAGCATAAAGTGAAGTAAGAAAACTTTAAAATTGGAAAGGGCAGAGGCATAGATGTCTCTGAAGACCCAGGGTTGTTTTTGTGTTTGTTTTTTGTTTGTTTGTTTATAAAAGGGAGCTAGGTCACTATAAGTAAAAGAGAAATTAGTATCACACAGATCTATGTTCTAATCTTTCTGCTAGAAAAAAGCTACTCGTGTGAATTTGACCAAGCTTCTGAATCTCAGTTTTCACATCTATTAAATGGTTATAAACTGTAACTTGTTTGGCCAGTGAATATGTTTCATGACAAGTCCTTGACAGAAGATTTCTCCCTGAGCGCTCCTTTTCTATTTCCTCTGAGATCTGTGACTGGATAGAAACGAGGGTGATTCCGGAATGTTCTGCCTGCAGAGCAGCAATCTCTCTACTCTTATCTTTGTTGGAGTAGCAGGACCAGTTGCTGAGCCTCTGCCTGTGCTGGTGCTGAGCTCTTCTGTTGTGCTGACCTCCAGGACACCCGTAGACCTCTGCTATGCTGCTGTCAACCTCCCTTATCTCACTGACTCTTACTAATCTTCTCTTCAACTAGCCACTGGCCAGGAAATCTTCACTTGACATTTTAATTGTAAAGCTGTTACATCCCTAGTGATACTGACTACCTCTTAATATTGCACCCTTCTCTTTTCCAGAGGACAGAACTTTCAGGAGGCTAAAGTTAAGGAATGATCAACCCTAGCAGGATCTTCACCTGGAACTGCTAGTTCCTCCGCAATCGCCACTCTGCTGCTCCATCTGTACCACTCTTCACTTACAGTAAGTTTTTCTCTGGATTCCAGGAGTTCTTTCTATTCTAATACAACTTTGGGGAGGTTTCAGGCCTCAGACAAGATAGTACTTCAATTGCAACACAAGTTCAGATTCACTCACATCAATCCGTGGATCCCAAGGAAGAGCAAGAATGCCGCTGAGTAACAATTCCAAAGTCCGCCAATAAGACTTTGCACAGAGCAGACCACGAGGGGGCAGTGTTGCCTTACCTCACATTCCAGCATAACCCTCATGGTGAATGCAGCCCCAAACCTTTCGTTGCGTTCAAGTTTAGATAAGCTGTGAAGCCTAAATGAGATAATATAATAGCTGCAACTGTTGTTTCTTAGATGCCTTCTAGGTGACAAGTATTTTGTGTATTATTTCATTTAATTTGAATGTGTCTCAGATAACGTTTGTGGGTTTTTCTAATCATTGAGACTTAGATGACATTGCTTCCGTGACTCTTCCCTACAAGTGTTGTTCGTTTCTCTGAGTTAAATGTTCATGGTTTCTTCTGCCCTTGGCTCCTGAAATTTTGCATCATGCCTCTGTTTGCACAAATCAATTAGTTTTTTAAAAATAAATTTCCATGGAAAACCCATTGCATTCATACTAAGTCCTTCAGGAAACTCACAAGAAGGGATCAAGTTATCTTTTTATGTCCCTCTGAGTTCTTTATTCTCCTTTAAACCTATTCCACAGAACCAAAATCCTCCGTTTCTAACTCATAACAAGGCAATGAATCTGTTAGTTGTTTTAGCTTCTTCCTCACCCAAGTTACTTATTCTCAAACAATGGGAAAGAGAGAAATTTGAAAGTGCAGTCTTGGTGAGTTCTTTGTCAATGAAATGTTTATGATTTAGGAACTTTGAGCATATGCAAAAAGGCTTTTATACTAACCAGAATTTCATAGGGTTGTTCTCCAGCAGTTACATGTGGAGTGGGTTAATTATGAACTACTGCCTAAAAAAGTTTAGCACACCAAGAAGATATCAGAAATATCTCAAATGAATATTAATGTTTTGAAATGTCTATGTAATTGAAATCAATTTAAATGTAGAAATAATTTGAAGAATGCTAATGCAATGGCAGAGTCCCACAGATAAATATGTCAAAACACATTAGGATTTCTCTGAGGCTATGGGAGAAACCTGCATTGCGATCAGACTGCGAGATACACAGATTTGATTCCATTTTTTTTCTGCTTTAAGTCTACTTTTTTGAGTTTTCTTATTTGCATCATTAGTCACAAGATTTTTTGTATAAGGACAAAGATAAGTTTACTTCTCCCCTCTAAAGGTTTGAGTCTGTTGAAAAGAACTGACAATAGACAAATTAATAGGAGAAAAGGCATACACATTTATTAACACTCATAAACATGGGAGTCATACAAAATAGGAGACACAAAGAAGGACCAGATGGTTGAGGCTTAGATGCCCTCTTCGTAGGGGAGAGGGAAATGGGGGATGCAGGGAATTGTGAGGAATAGTAAATGATTTTCAGGGGAAATGAATAGGCTCAAATAGCAGACAGTAATTTGTAAATGATTCTTTTAGGAAACTGAATAGGACTAGCCAGTTACAGGAAGGTGAGGGGCTGAACTGTGTCATCAACAAAGGTTATCTTATACAAATAAAGTCTTTTAGGTAATATCTCAAGGCTGCCCTCAAAAGAAGTAGAGATTTTTAATCTCTTCTTTTCTGATTAATTCTTCCTGGTTATTTAGTGACATTTCTATGGAGGGGATTAAGATAATTGCATTTCTTTTGAAAAGAAGTTTCCTTATTCAGATCAATAAATTCCAGAGAATACCCCTTCCTGTGCTTGAAGGGGAGAAAGAACAGAAAGTTAGCAAGTCCTTGGTTCTGAGGCAGCTTCTGAGGTCTTCCCATTTCTTTTAATTCATTTAATTCAAAGTACTCAACGGAGCAAAGCACGATACTTTGGGGTATTGTTTTCTGAGACCCAACATTTGGCCTTGTTGATTTTTCTGGGATGCGATACTTTTTTTTGTTGTTGTTGTTTTTGTTTTTGTTTTTGTTTTTGTTTGAGATGGAGTCTCGCTCTGTCTCCCAGGCTGGAGTGCAGTGGCGCGATCTCAGCTCACTGCAAGCTCCGCTTCCCGGGTTTACGCCATTCTCCTGCCTCAGCCTCCCGAGTAGCTGGGACTACAGGCGCCGCCACCACGCTCGGCTAATTTTTTGTATTTTTAGTAGAGACGAGGTTTCACCGTGTTAGCCAGGATGGTCTCCATCTCCTGACCTGGTGATCCACCCACCTCAGCCTCCCAAAGTGCTGGGATTACAGGCGTGAGCCACCGCACCCGGCCGGGATGCGATACTTTTATTTTTATTTTAGCTTTGTTAAAGTTGAGTGACATACCTAAATACCTATGTTTTGGTTTGGGAGTCATAAGTAAATTTCAATTTTAAAGAGATTAATAATTAAAAAATAAGTTGACCTAAGAAATACTTCATGATTTCACTTATATAAGGTCTCTAAACTAATCAAGTTCATAGAAGCAGAGAGCAGACTGGTGGTTGAAAGGGGCTGGGGAGAAGAGAAAAGGGAAGTTGTGGTTGAATGAGTGTAAGTTTCATTTATGCAAGATAAATAAGTTCTACAGATAAATGAACTGTATTGTGCACTTAAAAAACTTGTTAAGAGGGTAGATATCACGTTAAATGTTCTTGCCACAAGATAAAAACAGAAGCAAAGGAGCATGAGGAAACTTTTGGAAGTGATACATATGCTTATACCTTCATTGTGGTGACAGTTTCATGGGTCTATATTCATAGCATTGTATACATTAAAGATATGCCATTTTTAACATATCAGTTATACCCTCAATAAGGCTGTTAAAAATATGTATGGCTAAAAAAATAAGTTGCTACATTTTCTTACAGAACTGCTACAAAAGTCATCTGGAAAGGGCAGAGAAAGCATGACTATTCCCATCTTAGAGTTGAAGAACCAAGGCCCAGAGGCATTACGTACATTGACCCAGGCCTCCGTATACACCTTTTCAGTGGTATTGTGTTTAGCTATTTTCAGAACGATTTAGTTAGAGTAGGCAGATAGCTAGACATAAACAGAAAGGGGGAGCCCCTTAGAAAAGGGAGGTCTGGAAAAACTGTAATGCCAAAGACCACCCAAACTTACATACTAGATGTGAGCAGAGAGAAGGGGAAATATCTAAGCAGAAAGGAATACCCATTAAGATAAGATGCCCAGAAGTCATGCACTCTGCATTTAACCTGTTAGAATGTAGCTAGCTGCGTGCTGATAAGGAGAAGAGGGTAAAGGGAAAATTCCTAAGAGATGCCAGGGGTAATTCCTAACCAACACTGGGTCCACACATGCGCACCAACTAATAGTAAGGGAGGGTCCCACATGCCTCGGGAGGGAACCGGGAAGGGGAAAAGGATGGGACTTAAGGCAAGAGTGGGAAAGCTAGACAAAGGAATGAAGTGGAAACTTAAGACAGAGGCTGGAACTTCAAGAAAAATCCGACATCATAAAAACCCAACTCAGAATTCTCAGGCTGCTGCAGGCTCACTCCCTTTCAGCCTGCTCTTCCTCATCTTTCAGAGTGTACTCTTTCTCTCTATAAACACTCTACTATCTATTTTCTTTCAATAAATTCTCTTTTTTTAATGTGGCTTAATCAGTCACTTGGCAGGATTCTCCAAGTAAGACTAAGAACTGAAGATTCTCACACTTCTTGGTAACAATTTTAGATACATTATCTCATTTGAGACAAACTTCTACATTCTTTCTATGCAATGAATTATCAAGTTTTATCTCTTTTTCCTCGTGTGCTTTTCTACCTGTCAAAGTTTTTTCATTCCTCAAGACTCAGAGTATATCCTCCTTTTTCTGACTTCCCACCAGAGAGGATCCACCCCACACTGAGCCTCCAGTAGCCCTTAATTGTATCAGTCAGATGACCCTTGCTACATGTTTCCTTCTCTGCACTATGTTCTGTATCTGATACTTCTTGGTGAAAGATCTGAGAGATTAGTAATCTTTATATAATTACAAAGGCTACCATAATGTTTTGCCTATAGTAGTTATTCAAGAAGTGCCTATTGAAATAAATGAGAAAGATATTTCCCTTTTCTTTCCATCATCTGTCACCATTGAGCCCGTCCTTTCTGCCCACATTTTAGCTACTTGTCAATGTTACTTCTCTGCCCCGGCCAAATTGGTGACACAATGGACACTCTGTAGTTTAAAAACAAGCAAATAAAAACAAAAATAACCCCCTATAGCTTTATTTAGATTAATTTCTTGTCTTGATATTCTCTTAGAAGTTTTCCACAGCTATTCCGATCCAATTTATCTTTCTCTTCTTCAATTTCTTATGTTTAGCCCTTGCATATCTATTTCTGTTTTCTAATTTTTCATGGGCAGTTAGAGGGCAAGTCAAAAATGATATCTAACTTCCAAGCTGATTATGCAAACTGAGTAATATGATTGTAGAATGCTGCATTATTATTTGTTATTTTTAAAAGTGTCTCCCAGGGTATCTAGCATAGAACTACACAAATGCTAGAAATAAGCAAACTAACAACAACAAAAAAACCCTACAAATCTCCCCCACCCCCAAAACCTGTTGAATAGATTCACATCAGTCCTTTCCTGGTGAGTCTGACTTTCAGGATTACATTATTCTCCACAGATATCTTCTTTTGTATGTTCCTCCATCTTATCACATTACAAAGCAGTTTTCATTCATTGTTCGGAATATTTAACACAGCAGTTTATTGACTTTGGTTTTATTTCCCGATCAAATTGAAACCCTTTGGAGTATAAATTGGGTTGTAAATCTGATATTATTAAGTTTCCTATTCCAAAAATTACATTATTCTTATGTCCTAAATAGGTGAGCTATTTCAACAATTCTAGCTGTCTTCTGAGAGATTGCTACTGTATATAATCTGAGAAATTTACTTCGTGATTCCTAACAAAAATCAGGAAAATGAATGGACTTCTCTATGTTCTAATATGGTCTTAGTATGATAGAATTTAATATCAACTTTCCTTATGGAAATGAAACACTGCATTACTTTTAGACATAGAGTGTTTCTGTGGTCGGGGGGGGGCACTGGTTTTGTGTAATATCCTCTGCTCATATTTTCTTTCTGAGTTAACGTATTCAGTGCCTTCCACTCTGTCTGACACATAGTAAGTTCCCATTAAATGCTTGTGGAATAAGTAAAATATTATGAAGATGAAAGCTTTCATGTGTGCACTCATTTTCTGTTTACTCTGCTTGGTTCTCTGATTCATGAGTTTAACGTGAACATGTAGGGAAAAGAATATACCAACATTTTTTTAGCAAGATTTGTGGAACATTGATTTTATAAGAAATTCATAGGAGTTACTAAAACAAACAAACAAACAAACAAGGTGAAAAGGTTCATGGGAAAAAAGAAATAGGCCAGGCATGGTGGCTCACGCCTGAAATCCCAGCACTTTGGGAAGCTGAGGTGGGTGGATCACTTGAGGTCAGAAGTTTGAGATCAGTCTGGCCAACATGGTGGAGCCCCGTCTCTATTAAAAATATAAAAATTAGCTGGGCATGGTGTTATGCGCCTGTAATCCCAGCTGCTCGGGAGGCTGAGGCAGGAGAATCACTTGAACCTGGGAGGTAGAGATTGCAGTGAGCCGAGATCACGCCACTGCACTCCAGCCTGAGAGACAGAGCGAGACTTTTTCTCAAAAAAAAAAAAAAAAGAAAATAAGATATAGTATGACAAATGCCAACTTAAACAAAATTAAACTTTTCTCTCTGTTTCTCTCTCTCTGTCTCTGTCTCTCTCTCTTTTTTTGTTTTTTTCCAGCAGGGCTTCTTATGGCTCTAACAGGCTAATTGACCCAAGTTTTATCTGGTATAGTATGCACTATTATCCAAATTCACCTAACCCAGGTATGAATAGGACTCTTTAAGTGACAAAAACACAACTTGAAATGACTTGACTTAAAAATGAAATTCACCACTTAGATGACCGAAATATCCGGGGGTAACTTGGCTTCAGGCATGCATAACTACACAGAGGTGCTCAAATGGGGCATCAAGACAAAATGTTAGCTGGGTGGGAGGAATAAGTTCAATTGATCTATTGTACAGCATGGTAACTACAGTTAATAATACTGTATTACATACTTCTAAATCACCAAGAGAGTAGATCTTAAGTGTTCTCACTACAAAATATGATTAAGTATGTGAAGTAACACATATTTCAATTAGCTCGATTTAGCCATAAGATAATGTATACATATTTTAAAACATGTTATGCATCATAAATATATAACATTTTCATTTGTCAGTTTAAAAAATAAATGGAAATGGGTCATTAGAGGATCAGTGTTGTCATCTTTCCTCTGGAGTGAGCTTATTATCAAATAGAATTTTACAGAGACGAGGATGGCCACTGCCACTTTAGTCTTGCATTGAACAAGTTTATCAACCACAGCTCAAGGACAGCAGTCCTTTCTTGATAGTACAGAAAAATTCCACTTGTATATAAACTCTTCCAAAAAAGAATCTTTTTTTGTTTGTTTGTTTTGCTTCCAAATATATTTGCAGCTGCTAGAACAGTCCCTATTTGTGGTTGGTGTTCAATAAATTGAGTCTCATTTACTTAGCTTGAGCTTGAACCAACTGCTGTGAACAGGAGGATGGAATGCTCCAAATAGCTAGACTAGACCATGTTTCTACTTACAGAGTTAAGAAGCAAAGGGGTTCGACACACCTGAACCACATGAACTGAGAGTGGAGGGGAGAAAGAAAAGAGAGAAATGGAAAGGAAGGAAATAAGAAAGGAAGGAAGAAAAGAAAGAAAAAGAAAGAAAATCCAATAAAGAAACCTGTGCTAATATGCTAATAGATTTTTCCTTCCTTATTTTGCCAGTGGTTTTCTGGGTATGTATAACATGAACAGATAATACATCTTAGTGTCAGGGTTGGAATTTGAGTTGACTCTCTTACAAGCTAATAAGTTATCCTGTTAGTATTTCATGGACGCTGGCAGAAGACATGAGACTCCTTTGTCAGAGACAAAGGACTTTAATACTCATGACACAGCAAGCAGCATGACTATCAGTATGTTTGCATCAGTTCTCCTTGCTTCAAGTTCCATGTGCTAGGGGACAGATGGATGCCTCACATGCAGTGGGTTCGCATCGCATCTGAGGAACAATAACTTGGGCAATTCAATACTTTTATAGCAAGTAGTAAGCAAGCCTGCCTTTTGTCTGGAGAGAGGTGTTACCTCATTTCTCAAGGTTGCTCAGTGAAACACAGCCCTGATAAAAGGCAGAGTGCAAGGAGCAGTCATGGGCTTTCATTCCTGGCACACCCAGCAGGATGTATAGAAGCATGAGAGATATGTGAAAGACTGACTCTCAACACTTAGCTTGAAAATATTATTTTAATTCCATTTCATCCAGGTAAGCAGGTGAAAAGAAAATTTTGGAGTTTGCAGGACTTTGTAACATTTCTGAAGCCATGTCACATAAGCAATTGCCTTCTTGTACCAGGTGCATGTATTAAAATTTCAGAAAAAGTGTGCATGGGACTGGGGACAGTGGGGTTTATGGGAAAAAGGAGACAATATCTTTACCTTTTATGATTGCAGAAAATAATTTCTTTGGTATGAAGAATATGATAAATGGGATTATTGAGCTTTCAGGGAGAATACTTAGCTATGCTTTCTTTTAATACATTTGATTTCCAATTACTGAGAAATTGCTCAACATGCCCTGTGAAGAGTCTTTATGAAAATGAAGGGGCCAAAAGGTCTTCGGTGGGCCTTGTTCTAAATGTGGCCTCTCTGGTTGTTTGGTAGCTTATCAAAAGCCACATGAATCCTCAGAAATAGTGCTTGACTGTCAAAAGACAGCCCCCTTGTTTTAGCATTGCAGATTGAGCCACGCTTATTATTTTTCTTGACTTCTGGTGCACAGGCGGCATGATTACCAAGTGATCTTGTGTAAACAAAAGGCTGTTCTGTGCGAATAAATGGATTCCCACTGTTGCACAAGCCCCTAGGAGTCTGCATTAAAAACAAGTTGAGATGCAGAACAGAACATAGCATTTATTTTAACAGCAGGCACTTATCATTGGTGACATTACCTGATACGGCTGATAATCTAAAGCATTATAACTTTTGAGCAAAATTTGGTTCATAAAGACATACAAGGAGATAAACCATGGCTACTAATAGAAATTGCAAACAATCATTTGAATAGAACAATCTTATCTACATTCATCATCCAGCCAACTCTCTCCTCCCACTGAAATGAGACAAGGTAAATTCACAACTCCCATTAATGCAAATAGCAGCTTCAGAAGTAAATCCCTTGTTTCTCCACAGGAGAGGACGGCTGCCCCCTCTTGTTTCAATATATCACAAACCTGTGTCAGTCTGAGTTAATTGGTGGGAATTTGGAATACAAGCAATTTGAAACTAATCCTTTAAAATGGTGGCCAGTACGGTGGTTGGTGACAGCAGCTACTGGCTAAAAAGCAATACCATTTCTCCTAGGAGTGTTAATTCTGATCGATTGATGCTAAGTCTTCACTGTTCCTGGGCCAGGCTGATTTGTTTGTGCCCATTCCTTCTTCTGACACTAGCCTGACAGGACACACCTGGGTGAAGCTGGAAGGAAGGTTGCGGGCCAGGCTATCACATGAGTTTTATTGTTTTATAATAAAATGCACCTCGACGACATGAAAAGTAAATGTAGCCACTCCTCTACTTTGTGATGTTGGCCAAGTAGCTTAAGACCTTGCACCCCAATTTCATCATTATAAAATTATCTTTTCTAATATTCCGTTCACAGTGTTTTTCCTGAAAGCTAAATGAGATATTGTCATTACAACAATAAGGAGTAGAATTAATAAGCATGTAGGGGCTTCTATTCAATTTTATTGAGAGACAATTGTTAGGAAAAAGCTGAACCTCCAGGAACTTGATGTCTTCTAACAAGTTCAAGTTGCCTGAAGAAAATTACTCTGCATGATAATGGAGAGAGGGATTTGGATCCAGAGGATTGAGGGAGGGGAAAGAAGTGTTGAATCCAGTGGCAGGAAAATGGTAAGAGATGGGGACCTCTAAGTTGACGGAGACTTAGGGAAAGGGAAATGGCTGAAAGAGATTATCATGTGAGGCATCGGTGCAGGTGACAGACGCACTAAAATCTACACTGTTCACAAGCATTTGCAAAAGTGAGTGGTCTGGAGAACACAAAGCCTTGATGCTGGGTATTGCAATTAGTCTGGTTCAAGAGGATACAAGATTCTAATTGTTACAAGATGTTTACATTGAAATTTTTGGCTGTAGCGCCCAGAGAGAAAAAACGTAGAGAATTCCTAGTGAGATGCCAGACAAAATGCAGACGTTCAAAGGGCATGATTGCATGTAGGAAGGCTCTAAGCTTGTGAGAAGGAAGTGGAAGGAGGAAGTAAAGCAAAGAAAGAGGACAAGGATGTGGAAGATTCCTTTTGTGGAGAGGATCTTTTAGGACAAAGTTGTGCTGCGAGCCCTTTCCTATCTTATTACTTCTAAGGAGTACTAGAGATGGTAGTGGTTCCCTCAGCTTGAGGCCTGGTGAGGAGGCGGCACCACAAAACCAGCCAGAACCTGACATGCATTCTTTATGTCATGGTTGTGACTGATTGGGGCTGGTGTCATGGTTGGTAAAATAATTTACTGAAACAGCAGTGAGTTAAAGCAAGTTTATTAGAGAGAAAATACATTTCAAGGGGGCAAATGGGCAGCATAGCAGAGAAGGAGGCGTCTGCCAGGAGGCAGGGGTTGGAGGGAAGTTTTATAGGGTCATGTTGGAGGGGCTACCTGCAGAGTGAGGTATTTGGGAACAGGATGTTGTGCAAGCAGATTGTTTGTGGTTAACTGTCTCTCAGAACAATTGTTCTTCCCCACCTGGGGCCCCTCCCTCATTGTTGCTAACTTGTCAGGACTCCACACTTTACAGGTGGGGTATATTTTGCACTGGTGACTGGGTAGTTAGTGTGGTCTGTAGCAGAGTAGAGAGCGAGCTTGTGTTCACCGACAGCTGGATTTGGGAAGTAAAAACATCCCAATGACATTGGGGCAAGAAATGTGTGAACATTGTCCAGGGCCAAGGTCTGGAAGGAGAGACCGGGCCTGGAACTGTTTCAAAGGCTGCCCAAGAGAACCCTGAGGTGATAACAACAAGAGGCAGCTAAATGCATAGGCAAACAGGAGTGAGTCCCTGGTGAAACCCCACCTTTGAGGCAAAAATAGCCTGAAGGCTGAAAGACTGGACTGCTGGTTCCAGATGAAACCCATGACCCAGAGTGAGAACTTCTGTTCCTGTCTGACTGCCCTTTCCTGACTGATTCTTTCTGAATACTGCCTTTTAACCAATCAAATGTTGCCTTTTCCAATACCTGCCCCTTCCCTATTCTGAGCCTATAAAAGCCCTGAACTCAGCCATAGTAGGGGGACTTTCCTGCCTTTGGGTAGGAGGACCATACCTGAGTCCCCTCTCTGCTGAAAGCTGTTTAATCACTCCGTAAAACTCCCTGCCTTGCTCACTCTCTGATCGTCAGTACATCCTCATTCTTCTTGGGTGCAGGACAAGAACTCAGGAAGCAGTGCATGGGCTGATTCGGCCCGGGTGGGTCATCTCCTGCAATAGGAAGTGTGGCCGTGTGAAGCCCAGGTGGAGCATCACTGGCTGGAGGTCCCTGGCTTGCAAAGTGACTAAGAAGAAAATCCTGCTTCACAGGGAGGGTAAGCACATTCCCTTGGTGAGAAACTGTGAGCGAGTGGACTTAGAGAAGCAGAGGCTTAGAGAACAGCCACCAGTCAAAGAAGGGACACTGCCCTGACCACGGGGGCTTTGGTCAGATGGGTTCAGGGTGTTGGGATGCTGGAGTGGAGGGGGACACCAAAAGGACCCACAAAATTACCCAGGACAAAGAGTTGGCTTTCCACATTTGCCAGGCTTAGGGTGCGCAAAGCCAGCTTAAGATAGCGACAGGTAATAGCCAATTAAGAACTTTCTAATCTTATTTCCAGCTAGTAGCCTATGCATGAACAGTTTGCAAGTGGGGCAGGACATAAGTGGAGGGAAAGAGCAGAGGCACTTCTCAAAAGGCAGACAGCCTACCTCAGCACTAGACTGTAATGAGAGAACACTGGAGAGCTCTTATATTGAACTGAGATTAATGGTTTGGCCTGGATACCTTTAATATTTGTATGGAGAATGTGTTTTGTGACTTAAAGTGACTGTAGACTGTGTATAACATTAGAATAAGCAGAAAAAGCCGTGAGGCCAGCAGTGGTTCTCAAAGCCTGCTTTCTGGGGTGGCAGCAGCAGCAATACCTGGAAACACATTAGAAATGCAAATTTTCAGATGCCACCCAGACGTCCCATATCAGAAACGCCAGGGGTGGAGCCCTGAAAGCCCTCTAGGTTCTTCTGCTGTGTAGGAAATTTGAAAACCAAACTCTGAGCTAGAGAAGAGAAAACTCCAGTTTTATAGGTGCTTTGGCTGTCCTGCTAGTGATAAGCTATAGGAAAAATGTAGAGAAATGCAATCTATACTTCATGATATAATCACTTGAGGGTTACAGGAGGAATTAAAGCAATAGTTTTTCATGATATATTTTGGCTCTCAAACACGTTTCTCTCAGAGAACATCTGCTTGGATTTTCTGGGTGGCAAACTACGAAGTTGGGGTGGTCTGATCACTGCTTAGCTTGGCAGGATGTGCAACTGTACTGAAACTGGGAGCCCAAAGTAGAGGAGAAGCCCCCCATACCTGCTACGACCATTACCTGATGGGTTCCTGAAACTGATATTGGGCATTTAGGCATGTACAGCTTAACCACAAGCAATACCCTAGTGTGGTAAACACATCCTGCTATTTTAATATCTCCATCTTGTACAGGGAACAAAACTTAAGTAAAGGGAATTTTAAGAATAGAATCTAAATACTTTTGTGAATTAAAAAAAATAAGGACTAGCTGCTGTTGGTATGTTAAAAAATATGAATAAGTGAGGAACAGATTTTCAAGCCTGAACACTGTGCCAACCCCTTGTCATTTGCTAAATAAAAATACATGGTGCTGCTCAGAGGTATTACCAGGTGACGTGAATTATCACGTTTGTAGAAATGTGAAAAACAAAACCAAACAATCCTCAACTCTTAAAAAATGAGGTCAAGTGAAATATTAAAGTGACTTAGAAGTAAATGTCAATTCATAAGTAAAGTCATTCAGAACAATAACAAATTTATTCAAAAGTACTAGTATTTTAAAGAATACTTTGAATATAAACAACACGTAACCGTAATATGACAAAGTTTTGCATGCTGTTCATATGTTCTCTTACAGTATACTCATCTTAGGAAGTTGGTATCCAACCTCATAGTTATTAATTTGCTTCAATTTTGTAAAAAATCTGAGTTTGAAGGGGTTTGTTTTATTCTTCAAGTACAGTTTTCTTTCAGAGGTCCAATGTTTTCAATTGTCCCATTGCATCAGTGTGTGTGTAGAGAGGGAACGTTTAACAAAGGGAAATCACTGATTTACACAAAGCTTCTTAGGAGTTTTAGAAATCATTGTCTTCTTGTTGTCATTTATTGTGTTCCTTCTTTCTAGTGAGGTTGTAAGCTCCATTTTGCATTTTCCTTGTTATTTATATGGTGCAGTAAACACAGTAAAGGCTCAATAAATGTTGATGTAATAGCTGGATAAGATAGAAAAGAAAAACACTTTTTTTTTTTTTTTTGCCAATGCCGTCATCTGCCTATTGAAGTTTTTCTTGTCAGACCTTCAGCAGATGATTAAATTAATTTGAATCAGATTGAATTAGGCTAGAAATAGCCCAATATCTGAAACAATTTCACCAGGAATAATCAGTATAAGATCATTAGAAGGCAGCAGTTGTTATTAATTTCCCCATTTTGTTTCTTTTACAATACTGACAGGGTCTCACTGTGTTGCCCAGGCTGAGTTCAAAATCCTGGCCATATGTGATCCTCCCACCTTGGCCTCCCAAAGTGCTGTGATTATACGTGTGAGCCACCACACTTGGCCTGCCCCCAATTTTTTTTTTTTTTTTTTTTTTTTAGTTCCGCAAGGCTCTTTTCTTTCTGAGCAGTGATTTTGAAAATTACTAAAATTCTTATGTAAAAAATTTCTAAAACAAAAATTTCTGTAAGAAAATCATCGAAATATTATTTTTGGTACTGCACACTGTTCCTCTGTCAACTAGGTATCCAGTCATGTATTTGGGATTTGAACTTATCTTATGAGAGCTGGATGATACATATATTGATAGCACAGTCTTCCAGATCTAGTTAACTTCTTCGATGCAGTTGGCTTCACAGTGCTTCATTAGGGAAAAATGAATAATGTCGTCCCCTGGGAATGTACGGAAACAGTCCTATTGAGGAGCTGTTTGGCTTCTTCAGAAGAAAGACTCTCTGCCCGTTGTGGTGGCTGCTTTTTGCCAAGCTTGTGATTTGAGAGGTTGACCTAGCAACAATCTGAATAGCAAAGCATGTTTTTTCTTGGTGACCATTTTCCTGCAAAAGCATATTTTTGATTGGACTGCAGTCGAAAGCGTAATTAAATGTTACAGAGACTCTCAGAACTTTAAACCATTCTCTTTTTCCTTTTTAATTTGACAACACAAACAAGTCTAATGTTTCATTTTTCTGGCTCCAGATGTCCATTGTGAATGTAAATGATGAGCCAGTAGAGCTGATGCTTCCACAGAACTGATATTCAGAATAAAAATGAATCGTTGCACATCCTGCAGGTGCCTCTGCTGAGGGAATCTTTTCACTCCGAAGACATTTAACAGATAGAATATGCAGCTGGTCAAAGAAAGCCTTTAGGCTATTTCAAAGTTTCTATACAAAATAAAATGCCTCATAAAGTTTGCTTGAAAGTGAAATTTTATAAAATACGGTTATATACACTCGTTCATTTTTATTCCAATAATTCCAAGCTTTCTTTTTAAGGCTGAAAATACTATTTTTAAGAATCAAATAAACTCCAATATTTGGAGTTCTGATAGAGAGAACTTCACATTTGGCTTGCATTTGGCACTTAATTTGGAGGTTGTATTCAAGTTAACAACAACAACAGCAAAAATACAATGATTCTTCTATATTGTCAATAATTACTGCTCACAGCTTGATTATTTTGCAATTATCAAGATCTCTGATGCCACACATATGTGCCAAAGCCTTTCAAAGGACATCTAATGAGAACTGTAGATGGAGATGGCATTGATGTCTGATTAGGGAGAGAGCTGTTCATGTACTTAGCCTTTGAACTACAATTCACCATCTAATTTTCTCAATCAAGGTCTGAGACTTGAAAGAATCTATGGCAGAGTCTAGATCATCTACTGAAGAATTTAGAGTGAGAAAATGTATCCTGAGCATGTTCCCTCTCCTGCTTCTCAGAAGCCCTGAACCATTAGACTGCATAAGTCTGCCCACTTTGTCCTGTGATGATTCAACTGGGTTCCTCTTCCCTCAAAGATCCCTGTATTCTAAAACAATTTTCTCCCTTCCTAACCCTCTGCTAAGAAATCGATTCTTTTAGCACAGCTGACCACAGCAAGAAGAAAGCAAACAGATGGAGTTAATTCATACTAAGATGAAAAAGTCTGCTAGCCTCCATGGGGTATTTGCCTCATAAAAAAGATTGCTTGAGAAGTTAAGTTTATCTCTAACTTGCAGAACCTAAGAAATGAAGTAAAGCATTTTAACTATGGGGAAGAAATGTGATCTTTTGTATTTTTTGGTCAGTATTTGAGTGATAAGACATGTGAAAAGAGATACACAAGTCATCTCATGCTGACCAAAACAAAAACAAAACAAAACAAAAAACAATGTAGATTGAACTGTGATGGAATGATTAATGCATCAAAGGAAAAAAGTATCATTCAGACATTGGTCATTCACTCCTGGTCATATTGATAAAGGTATAGAGGCACACTTTGGAAAAGTCTGTCTTAACGTAGTTCAGAGAATAGAGTCTTAGATTACAGTAAACTGGCAAGAAGATGCTATACGAAGACATCTATTTTACAATAGATGTTTCATTCATTTCATTAATGCTCAGTTCTGTTTCTAAGTTTTTTAACAAAACTTTTGGTTATTTTTTTTAAAATTTATTATTATTATACTTTAAGTTCTAGGGTACATGTGCATAACGTGCAGGTTTGTTACATATGTATACTTGTGCCATGTTGCTGTGCTGCACCCATCAACTCATCAGCAACCATCAACTCGTCATTTACATCAGGTATAACTCCCAATGCAATCCCTCCCCCCTCCCCCCTCCCCATGATAGGCCCCAGTGTGTGATGTTCCCCTTCCCGAGTCCAAGTGATCTCATTGTTCAGTTCCCACCTATGAGTGAGAACATGCGGTGTTTGGTTTTGTGTTCTTGTGATAGTTTGCTAAGAATGATGGTTTCCAGCTGCATCCATGTCCCTACAAAGGACACAAACTCATCCTTTTTTATGGCTGCATAGTATTCCATGGTGTAGATGTGCCACATTTTCTTAATCTAGTCTGTCACTGATGGACATTTGG